TGGAACAAATTATTACTCTGGTCAGGAAATTGGTGGAGCTTCATAACAAAATTTAAAATAATAGAAGTAATAATAAAAGGGAGGCGAGGAGGGATGAGGTTAGCGATAAAACCAGCCTGCCAGGCTAATGAGTCACTCATCCAGGGTGGAAATTCTTATCTCTCTTGTGGACTGCTTTCCCCCTATGACATGATGGAAGAAAATCCTCTAAATTTAAGAAAATTGTCTCTAAATGTGCTAGACTGATCAATGTTTTAGTTTTGTTGTTCTTGGTTTTTAATAAATAGACTTTTACCTGTGAAGTATCTTGTTGTGTACAGAATTCACTGAGATAAAAGCCTGTGTATGAATTGCCCCAGACCTTATTACAGCTTTCAGCTCTAATGTCATTAGTATGTATTCTGCAGCTTTCAAAATCTGAGCCAAATTTTGGGTTGAATATTGGATTAGGGCATGGCAGAAGCCTTGCAACTGTTGTTACTAGTCAGGGTTTTAGGAGTATGCTGTAACTCCTTTCAATGACTTAATCTCTTGAAAATCTAATCTAGGGGCTAGGAAGGTAACAGAGAAAATGAAAATGTTCTCATCAGATATTTTACCACTTTTCTACTACCTCTGTCAGCCTAGAAAATCAGCTTGTCTGATTTTGCTCAGGATGTGTTCAGTGTAGTACTACTAGCTTTTTTTTTTTCTTTTAAAAAGAAAACCACATCTATCGACAGGCCAAACATAAAGGTAGTAACAAAAGGAAATCATTCATGCAGGGTATGAAAGAGTAATAGATACTTCGTAAGGAATATTCTTTACTTTCCTTTAACTTGCAGCAGTAGTTTAAATACAGTCGGCAAACAGAAACAAAGCAGAATACGCTAATTTGCTACTGCTGTTATCCTGACTGCCCAGAGCTTCCAAATACTTGTAATATTTGGAAGAGTTGTTTTTTTTTTTTTTTTTTTTTTTTTTTTAATATATAATTAACCATTAACATGATTTCGGTCTTTTCATCATGATATATCATAAAGCTGATGAAGCTCAAAGATCACAAAAAGCAGAGAATCAAATCGGCATAACCACAAAACAGAAGAAAATAACAAATTTTAATCACATTTTTCAGAGTTTTTCACTAATAATTCATATTTTTGGGGGAGTTTATCAATTCAGATACTAGTTTAGGCATGCCTTTGAAGAGAAGCAAAAAAATGCGAAGACTTATGTGAGCTGTAAATCCCCTTGCTCAGCAATGCTGAAAAGCTTGTATGTATTGTAATATATTTGCCATTTCTGTTATGTAGAGTTTACGTATATTTCAAATTTATGCTCTGGGTGAGAATATTTCAAAGGTCTGCGTTAGGCAAGAGAAAGCTGAGGAGCTGAACTGCCTGATCCTTGCTCTGCCTTGAACAGCGTGGCTTGAATTCCAACCCAGCCGAGAGCAGCAGGAAAGAATTTTCATTTCTTTCAGAGAGGCCAGGATTTCGTTCCAGAAGTGATTTATCCGATTTATGGGGAGAAACATACTGTTCATACTGTTACTAAAGTGTACTCTAACAAAACGCTGCTTCACCGTAAGGAGCGAAAAGTGGTTTTACCCATTTGAAACCATGGAGATTGTTTGGAGTAATATCAGCGTGCTGAATTCACTGGAATTTAGTATCTGGAAGAAACCCTTCCTGACTGTTTTAAAATGGATTGCAATATGTGCATGGCTGCACACGATCTGCTGATAGCTGGAGCAGTAACTTCTTGTATCAGGCTCCACAAGGGAGGCTGACTGATGTGTGCAGGGAAGAAACCTCGCATCACTCCTCAGAAATAAAAGCATGCTGCTTGGACTGCCCTCTGAACACACCCAGGAGTCCTGCATGTGTGTTATCGCAGGGAGGTGTAATTACATTTGCCATGGCTGGAAATACTCTTGGCCATTTCTTTTCTGTGCGTGTGTGTGCATTTTAAACGTGATGCATCTCTGCATGGTTTGGTTTCCCGTTCCTGGGAAGTTACAAAATCCTCACATACTGCTCTTTCAGCTAAACAAATGCAAGAATAATTGTATGATATAAAGTGATGCCTAGAAAAAAATAATTTACGTAGTTTATTATTACTGTGTTATTACAATGGAATGGTGTATTACATTATATTACTCTACCAAACAAGGGAAGTACTATTGCAGAGGTCTCTACCCATAGCTAAACAGGCTGTTAAGGTAATAAATCTCTTGTGCCCTACAGTCTTCCTAGTATAGCCCTGTAGGCAAGGAGATGGACTTGAGCAATCCTTAGAGAGTTCCTTGTGCCAGCTAAAACCCGCAAATGTTGATTGTTGCAGTCTGCAGCCATTGCAGTATCTTGGTATGTGATTTACGTTCCCAGGTCCTGTTTCCAGCATCATTGGAGAGGAAATAATGCAATTACTTCCTTAAAACAGAGATGTGGTAGTCTTCTTTTTTTCTATTTTTTTCTTCTTTTTTTTGGGCCTGTGACCTTCAACACAGCCTCTGCTGAGGATGGTGCTTTGTGAGAGGTGTTAGCCACAATTCACCACCTTTAGACACCTCTGAAGGTGTAGGCCACATCCTGTGCGGGCTTCTGGAATCTGAACACAGTTGCTAATTTTCTTCCTCACTATTCCTGTAGCACTTCATCCAGGGCACAGGTACTCGAGTTCCCTCAAGTTATCAAGGAACATATGGCAGTGCTGTGCTTTAGAAAGGAAGAAATACCTGATAATTTAGAATGGTTCTACCAAAAAAAAAAAAAAAAAAAGTTGTTTAATAACTTTTATTGTGTTTATATTTACTTAGCAACTTGAAAGTAGGAACCTTTAAGTGTGTCACCATATTGTCCCCATCACAAACTGCTCCTCAGTGAATGAAATACCTCCTGCCTTTCTGGAAAAGCAGGTGATGCAGTGTATGCAACAACCTGTCAGGTGAAAGCTAGTGGCCTGCTGCTGTGCCCGTGTGTCTCTTCTGCTTCATGAACCTGTGGGGTTGGGAAAACCTTAGAAAAACTGCCGGCCTCCTTGTATGCAGAGCCTGGACCAGCCCCAGAGGAGCCATCTGGCTTGTTCTTAAACGTCTCCCATGAGGAGATCTCAAAACACCCCTAGGCAGATTGTCCCGTTAATTGATTAGAAGGGGTTTTCTAGTGCATTGCTTAGCTGTTCCTTACACACATGATGGTGACTTTCCTGTCCCTACCCAGTGGGACCAGGATGGGCTGGCCCCAGCTGGCAGCCAAGCGCCCAGCCAGCTGCTTGCTCAGCACCACCCCACGGCAGGACAGGGGAGAAAACAGGAGGAACAGCAGCAAGAAAACCCAAAATAATGACAGGGAAATCAATAAGTACTGTTGCAGTCAGAAAAGTCTCAACTTGGGGAATTTATTTCAGTTTATAACCAGTTAACAATTATAACAGAATCGTCTAGGTTGGATGAGACCTCAAAGATCACCTAGTCCACCCTCTGTGGTAATTATCTAATTACTGATTCAGATATCGGAAAATAAAAAAAAAAAAAGACAAACATTAAAATACGAGGGAAAATGTCTATCTTTTCCACACTCCCTTCACGTCAACCACCTCTCCTCCCTGCTTCCTCATCCCCGCGCTCACTGCAGGCTCCTCTCCTCCCCAGGAGGTTCAGTCCCTTCTGTGAGGCGGTGAGGTGCAGGAGATGGCACCAACAAATGGACACATCTCTTTCTGTGTGCTGCTCCTTCCTTTTCATACTTTTCTTCCTGCACTCTGGCACAGGCCCACCACAGGCCACAGTCCCTCTGGGGCTATACCTGCTCCAGTGTGGCCCCATCCCTGCTGCAGCCCCTATGAGGGAGGTCCCTGCTCTCCCACAGAGCACCTCCTCCTCCTCCTCTGGCCTTGGGGGTGCCTCGTTACCTTCTCCTCTGACTGTGCCATGCTTTTTCCCTTTCTGAAGTGTATTTTCACAGAGGTACCACCAGCTTCTCTGGCAGGCCTGTTGACAGCACACTGGTAGCAGCTGTATCCACGGGGAGCCTCTGAGCTCTCCTCACAGAGGCCACCCCTGCAGCCTCCCAGGGACCAGAAACTTTCTGTGGAGGCCCATGCTTGCTTGCTGTCTTACGTTTCAGTTGCATCCAACGTATTCAGACTTTTTTTTTTCCCCAGATTAACTACATGAAGTTCTTCCAAGCTCTCCCCATAGGTTTCATTTTGCTTTCTTTTGGATCCTCTCCAGTTTCTCTCCATCTTTCGTATTATGCAGTGTCTGAAATTGGATGTGGAAGTCAGCTGAGGACTCATCTGCCTTCAGAAAATGAAATAATTGCATCCCTTGCCTTACCTCAGACAGTTATTGCACAATGGACGCACATTTTTGTTTTGCTTGTGTCTGATCGTATTCTGCTGAACTTGTGTCTCTCCGTGTTTTTTTTTAACACATAATTAATTTCACCTTCCTATGTGCAGCACTAAGCAAATTCTTACTTTTTTCTTGTTGATTTTAGTCTCATCTGTCTTGCAGAGCTCCTGCCACCCCCTGGGGTTAGGAGTCCCCCTGCTCTTCCTCTGCTCAGATGGCAGCTCGCCGAGCTCCCCGCTGGCCCTTCAGGCTGCCGTGAACACAGGGGCTCAGTGTTCATTGCCAGCATCTCCTCCAAAAGTTGCACTCTTTCATGGGGTATTTCAGCCTTCCTTTACCAAGTCTCTATGGGGGTTGTTACACACCAGATTTTTGGTTGGGCTGTGAGGATTTTTAACATCTGTGCTTTTATTTTTCCTATTTGTCTAGTCTGTGCAGAGATGTTAAAAATATTCAGCAGATTCGTTGTCCCTCTGCCATACCATTTTGCAAGTGATAGCAACGTTTGGGCAAGGCTCAGACTGACCTCCAGTTACTTTCAGAAACCCTGGAGCAGGTGGAAAACATGATGCTGGACGGGGAGATTTGTGTCTCGCTGTGTTCCTTGTATGCTCACAGAAAAGCAAAGTCATATAACAAGGAATTTTAATGTGTGTTTCAGCCACGGGAATAAAGAAGTATTTTCTTGTCGAGGGATCAAATTGGCAGTAGACTGGTTTTTGGAAAGAGGCCATAAGGATGTTACAGTGTTTGTGCCAGCATGGAGGAAAGAACAGTCAAGACCTGATGCTCTCATCACAGGTAAGCTCTGTTCTGCCTTTGCTGGTTTGTTTGATGCTTTGTACAATGTGAATGCTACTGCACAAATGAACAGGTCATAAAAAATGAAAGACTATAATAGAAGGTGTCTTTGGTGTAGCAACTGCATTGCAATCTTCAGGGAGGAAAAAGGCAAAGCAATGTTATCACTAAGCCCTCCCTTTCTGCTCGCCTTATAAATTTTCCCTTAATATTGCTACTTATTTCTTCAAGAACATTACTGCCATTTTTTAAAGCTGTTCTGCCCATGTAGCGGTGGCAGCAAAGGTTTGAAGGCAGTGATTCACCAAGCGATGGCTCTTGTGGTGAGCAGTCTGCCAGCCCGGCCTGTCTGCCAGTCACCTGCGGTGAGTCACTCTGCCCTGCGCCGGGAGTGAGGAATGATCCCGGCAGAAAGGGAACAGTTCTCCTTTTGAACATTCCTGTTAACGAGTGAGAAAGCTTTTGAAAATGTCTGTTTTAAATGTGTTTATTAAAAAAAAAAAAAGCTGTAGAGGCATTTACTTCTTTATCCAGCTTCTTTGTTCTGTATGGAGTATGGAGAGTTGTCCCCCTTCTGCCCTAAAGTTGAAACAGGAGAATTAGGGCTTTTTTTTTTCTTTTTTTTTTTTTTTTTTTTCATTTTAATCATAGAACCATTAAGGCTGGAAAAGACCTCCAAGATCATCTGGTCCAATCATCCCCCCCCCACCAATATCACCCACTAAACCATGTCCCCAAGCACCACGTCCAACCTTTCCTTGAACACCCCCAGGGACGGTGACTCCACCACCTCCCTGGGAAACCTGTCCCAGTGCCTGACTGCTCGTTCTGAAAAGAAATGTCTCCTCATTTCCAACCTGAACCTTTTCTGGTCCAAAGGAAGGGAAACTTATGAGAATAGTAGCTGTGACTTCTAAAAGACTATGGAAGCATGCTTTGATTTGCACGTACATTTCTGAAGAGCTGGAAAGGTCTTTACAACTCTTTGTTTCCTTTGCCCTATTGCTACAAGAGCATGCAGTGTTAGTGCAAGAAAGCATTTGGAAAGCTGTTATCATCTCCTCAACAGAGGCAGTATGGAGCCTTTCTCTTGAAGGTAGTCAAGTAAATGTTTGCTATAGACTATTGCAAAGATAATACAGAAAACAATACCCTGAGAAAGAAGATGTATTCCCTGTCGTAAGAGCTGGTCTCGATCGAGTTGTTTCACTGTACCAGTGTTTGAGGTATGAGAAGAGCATTGGCTATGTAATTAAGAGTTGACTATTTAGAATTGAAACATAACATCTGCTGGAGCTGTGACTAGGGCTAGAAACCCATAAAGGAGTTTCAAGCAAGTAGGAGGTCACAGAGTTGACCAGTTGTCTACCACAAAAAATTAATTTCCTGCATGTCATCATGGACCCTGAAAACGGAAGGAAAACCAAAGCAGTTTATTGTGTCTTCTGTAAAACAAAAGTATCAGGACGCAGGGAGCCTGTTGGCCAACAGTCTTGCGAAATACATTGTGCTGACACTCCGTCTCTAGAGATAGGTATCTGAAGTACTTGGCCAACTGGAATTTTGAAAAAGTCTCAAATGACTTACTAATGGCTCTAGACTGTTAGACTGTCCAAGAAACTTCTTGGACTATGTAATGACTGCATTTTTCTTAGTACTACCTGTCATTCTTCTAGACTTGACAGATTTTTTGTTCTTTCTTAATGGGGAAAAATCACTTTCCTTCAGACTCTCACTCATCGTCTACCAAATGGGGAGAAAAATGCCTGCAAAAAGGCTGGACATCATTTCTGATCCTGTGTTTTTTCTAGTAAGCAGATAAATGCTTGCATGAAATATATTGCTTATTTGTAATATCAGTGCTGTATTGGAGTCTTTTTTTTTTCTGGGTGGAACATGTTCCCTGTCAAGTTTCTTGTGCTACAAAACAGCTGAGTTATTTGAGATTTAAACCATTATTAAAAGCCATGACTCATATTCAGCATGCAAGTGTCTTCTGCAGTTGTAGGTGTCGCCTAGCTTTCTGCTTATTTTTCTTTTGTAGCTTGTCTGCTCTGAGGAGAGTGATAGCTGGCAGAAACAACAGAAGGCAGGGGTGCCCCAGCGCTCCATGCTCTGGTGCTACACCCAGAGTCGTAGTCCAGGTCACCTCCTTGGCAGTCTGAGCTCCCCAGGGTCTCCAGGTTCAAGAGAGAGAAAGAGAGGATGCTTTTGGAGGGGTGACTGAAGGACTGTGTAGGACAAGAAGGAATTACATCAAACGTTGAACACTTATTCAGCAGGATGAAGAGAAACCTTTCTGGGTTTGCTAAGACTTCATACATAACACTGAAAACTCTTCAGTGAAAGATATGTTCTGAGCCAATACTGGCAGTAAAAATAAAAAATAAAAATTCTGCTTCCTTTTTTTATATGGTTACAAGATGACATCAGAAGGCTTTTTAGCAGATGTTACTAAAAGTTGTGAAGAGCCTGAGTGTTTGTACAAAACGTAAGTTTTCTAGTCTTTGTGGGTAGTAGGAATACCCTGCTCATGATGGGGAGAGACTTTAACGAGGCAGATCTATTTATTTAAGCTATTGACGTTGTTGCAAAAGATGTTTCTTGCTGGCGGGGTACCACAACAGGATGGAAGAGTTGTATCATTACCACAGAGCTCAGTTACGGAAAACCTTTGGCTGTAAGTTGGGTAAATCTTCCTAATCACTGACATTGAGTAAGATTTAAGACTTTTTTTCCCTCAAGCAGGGGAGTTTTTCACACGAGTTTTGGTAAGCAGTGTTTCTTTTAACCACAGCGAAGTGAACAAGGTCCCCTGTGTTGCTCTTAGAGAAATGCTGGGTAGCGGAAGGTTTTCATTTGCTTTGGTTTGGTTTTGAAAGTGTTGCTGGTTGGCTGCTGCCTGTAACTTCAAGTATCACACATCAGACATCTTCTGCAGGGCTGTCGCCTTTTAAGACATGGTTACTCCAAAATGCTTGGGTTTTCTTCCTAAAATCTAATGTCTTCAGAGGTGAAACAAACAACTTTACTTTGTTTTTATTTTTTGACCTTTAATTCGTATTCCTTGTAGATCAAGAGATCTTGCGTAAATTAGAAAAAGAGAAGATTCTTGTGTTCACACCGTCCCGCCGAGTACAAGGGAGAAGGGTGGTATGCTACGATGACCGATTCATAGTGAAGCTGGCCTTCGAGTCAGATGGCATCATTGTTTCTAATGACAACTACAGGGATCTAGCTAATGAGAAGCCCGAATGGAAGAAGTTCATAGATGAACGCTTGCTGATGTATTCATTTGTTAATGACAAGTAAGTCATTCTATCCTCGTAAGTAAAATAACTGAGGAAAGGACAGTTTGAAGACATGTATGGATTTTTTATCTTCTACCCTAATCACTAAGTACATGCAGGAAAATAGAAGGAATAGTTTGTCATAGATTTGGTATTCTCAATAAAAAATACTTGAGCTTGTTTATTTTTGCCAGACTTTTTTATGGCAATATGTTTATATCTTTATATTGTAAAATCATTTGCTGCTTCTGGTGTATGCCAATGTATATGCTATATTGTACATATGTTACAGTATTGTATTCCAATTTTCTTGATGTACTGAGCCAGAATTTTGGGGTGCCTATGGTTAGACCCCTAAATCATAAAGTCATAGAATGACCCACATGGGAATGGACCTCAGGAGGTCTCTAGCTGAACCATCTACCTTGATCCATCTCTTGTAAATTCTTGTAAATTCTTGTAAATGCCTAAGTGTCACTTGCAATTAATACTGATGTCTTCTTGTAGTGGGAAGGTCTCAGTACTCTGCCAAGCAGACACTTGTAGTTGAGTGCCTCAGTAATGATGAAAAAGACTTTGACACTCTTTTGACTTTGACAAAGTCAAAAGACTTCAATCCACACAGTTTTGCAAATCTAGTTGTGGTGTTTTAGGAAATTGCTGCCCTCCCACTGGTTTAGGAATGGGTTGTGAGCAGCCCTGCCCTGCTGCAGAGCAGTCAGCTGGGCCAGACTAGAGCTGCCTGAAGCCAACGAGGGGTGTCCACACAGTCTGTTTGTATGACCGGTCTCTCAGGTAGTACCTGCAGCAGAAAGGTGGCCTTGCATCACTGCAGGACAGGGATGTCAAGAGCTGCAGCTGATTTCAAAGCAGCTCTGAAAGTACCCAGGCTTAAAGATGATAGCATGGCAGCTTACGGCGTGGGACGCAGTCATGAGGTTCTTGGTCATTGCATGAGGAATATAAAAAGGCATTTGCTTCCGTAACACTTCTTTGTTGCCTTATAGATTTATGCCTCCTGATGATCCTCTTGGCCGCCATGGCCCAAGTCTGGACAATTTTCTTAGGAAGAAGCCTATTGTGCCAGAACATAAGAAGCAACCTTGTCCATATGGTAATTTGTTCTTCTATCCATGAGCTTTCTGTACTGCTGGGTCTCAGGACTGAACTCCTGCTTTACTTTAACACTGCCAAAAATAAAACTTTTAAACAGAAGTTCTTACATTACTGTCTTAGCCTGAGAATGTTTGAAAAGCTGAGCACTGGAGTTAGTGGAGACCAAAGCGATTTTTTTTTCATGTGCTAGCTAAAGAACATTTCTGTGTACCAGTTGAACTAAAGGAGTAATTTCATTAATCATTGGTAGGAAGAGATCCAAAACACCACCTAAATTATTCAGTCTCCAGAAAACCATTTTGTAACATGCTTTGTCTATAGCACATCCAAGTTTTCTGCCAGAAAATGGATCAAGCTGCCTGACGTTTAGCTACTCACCTTCCTTACAGGCACACCGGCATCTTGACTTTGCTGCTCTTATGACTACGATTTTCATGTTAAGTTTCCCACTTTTGTATCTCCTTAGCACAATACAGCAAGTGTGTGCATACACACAGATGGCATCATGTTCAGCTCAAAAAGCTGAAGGTGGTGTTGGTCTGTGTTCCTAGAGCAGTTGCTTCAGCACATTACCATTGCCTCTTTTACTGACAATACAGGAAAGGAGATCCTAGATCTCACCGTGTCACACAAAACCATTTGCAAGATCTTTTTAGAAACATAGAAAGGTTTGGGTTGGAAGGGACCTTAAAGATCATCAAATTCCACCCCCCTGCCATAGGCAGGGACACCTGCCACCAGCCCAGGTTGCCCAAAGCCCCATCCAGCCTGGCCTTGAGCACCTCCAGGGATGGGGCATCCACAGCTTCTCTGGGCAGCCTGTGCCAGGGCCTCACCACCTGCTGAGCAAAGAATTTCTTACTTATATCTAATCTAAACCTCCCCTCTTTTAATTTAAAGCCATTCCCCTTGTCCTATCACTACACATTCTGACAGAGTCCCTCCCCAGCTTTTCTGCAGGCCCCTTATAGGTACTGGCAGGCTGCTGTAAGGTCTCCCTGGAGCCTTCTCTTCTCCAGGCTGAACAGCCCAACTCCCTCTGTCTGTCTTTATAGAAGAGGTGCTCTGATCAATCTTTCAAATTGTCAGCAAAACTTTAAATGAGAGGCATTTTCATTGTTTAACAGTTAACGGATTTTGCTTCATGTTTTTAATCTCATTATGTTTGTGTTAACAGGGAAGAAATGTACCTATGGACACAAGTGCAAATACTATCACCCAGAAAGAGGAAATCAGCCTCAGCGATCTGTAGCTGATGAGCTTCGTGCCATGTCTCGAAGCACAGCTGCCAAAACTACAAGTGAAGGAGGACTGGTAAAAAGCAATAGTGTTCCCTGTAGTACTAAGAATGATGGCACTTCTGAGCTTAAGCGTGCCGCTCCGAAGAGGCAGTCAGATCCTAGTATAAGGACTCAAGTCTACCAAGACTTGGAGGAAAAGCTTCCCACCAAAAACAAATTGGAAACCAGGTCTGTACCTTCCTTAGTTAGCATACCAAGTTCCTCTGCTGCAAAACCCCAAAGCACTGCACCTTTAACCAACGGCCTTCCATCCGGAGTTCATTTCCCACCTCAGGATCAACGACCACAGGGACAATATCCTCCTACGGTGATGATGGCAACCAAAAATCACGGAACGCCAATGCCTTACGACCAGTATCCAAAATGTGAGTCTCCCGTGGACGTAGGGTACTACTCCATGCTGAATGCGTATTCAAATCTGAGTATATCTGGTCCACGGAGTCCCGAGAGGCGCTTCTCCTTGGACACAGATTACAGGATCAGCTCCGTGGCTTCTGACTGCAGCAGCGAGGGGAGCGTTAGTTGTGGCAGCAGCGACTCCTACGTGGGGTACAGCGACCGCTCCTACATGAGTTCGCCCGACCCGCAGCTGGAGGAGAACCTGAAGTGCCAGCACATGCACCCCCACGGCCGCCTTAACTCCCAGCCCTTCTTGCAGAGCTACCACGAGCCTCTAGCCCGAGTGCAGAGCTACAGCCACGAAGAACCAAAGCACCACCACAAACCTCCCATCCCGTACCTGGCTGTGCACCTGCAGCACCCCGTGGTGGGTGCTCGCTCCAGCTGCCCCAGCGACTACCCGGCCTCGCAGAGCTCGCCGCACTCCAAGGCCGTGCACCTGGGGAGAGCCCTCGTGTCCACCCGAATCGACAGCATTTCGGACTCGCGTTTGTACGACAGCTCTCCACTGAGACACAGGAAGCCTTTCGCTGCCCAAGACGGGCTTGGAAGCTGGGACAGGCAGAGCTACGGGGTCGATGCCTACAGCTACCGCCAGACCTACTCCTTGCCCAGCAACCCCACGCAGCCCTGCTACGAGCAGTTTGCCTTCCAAAGCCTGCCCGAACAGCAGGACCAGGCCTGGCGCGTACCCTACTGCGGGATCCCTCAAGACCCCCCGAGGCACCAAGACACCAGGGAGAAGGTTTACATAAACCTGTGCAACATCTTCCCCCCCGACCTGGTGAGGATCGTCATGAAGAAGAACCCCCACGTGACGGACGCGCAGCAGCTGGCCGCAGCCATCTTAGTGGAGAAGTCTCAGCTAGGTTATTGAGAGATGATGCATCTTTGTGGTGTCTAGTAGTTTTTCAGCTCAGCTCTAATGCTGAGGGAGGTTTGCTACAATAGCATTTGGGATCTCCTTCTCAGCAAGGAGGTTATAATAGTAATCCATTTATGTGAAATGCTGTATCATGGAGTCTGTATGTATAGCCCCGTGCATCCGAAGGACCCGGTATGTTTTGTGTTCTAGTTTGAAAATTTTTTAAATGGCTATTTTCATGGCTGGAGGATGCTCCAGTTTAAATTAATATATATATATATATATATATATATGAAAAAAAAAATCTGTCGTCTCTGGTTATAATCTTTGGTGCATCAGGGGTTTATATGCAGCACTTTCTATCCTTGTTACATGTTGTTGCGACTTTCGGTTTTGTTTTTTAACTTGCTGGATGTTTGTCCTTGGGCTGCGTGGTGTCAAAACGACCTGCAGAGAGAGGATTTTGCTTCTTCCAGCAGACAAATTTCAAGCCAAGTTTTTGAACTTTTTACAACACCGTGTTTGTTTGTTCGTTTTTTGTGGGCTTTTTTTTTGTGTTATAATCATATTTATAGGAAACAAAGATTTACTACAGCACTGACTTTATTTTTTAAACGAATAATTGAGTTACCAGTTAACGGTGAAATGGGTAACGATATATTAGTAATTTATAGTATGGCACTTTTCATTGCTCTTTGTTTTGTTTAAGTAGTTACATGTTTTGTTGATGCAGTTGATTAGTAAGATCAAATGCAATCAGAGGACAATTTTTTTATTATTATTTTTTACTAATTTATGGGTAAGGTGGAAAGCCTTACTGCCTGATTTTCAAAGGTGCTGAGAATTTGCAGCCCCCTTTGAACCTGCCACAAACTGCAAACACTCAGTACCTCCTAGAAGCAGGCCACCTGGTTTCAATTCCCACGTGCTGTTTTCCAGCTTCCTGTACTCCTGGTCAGTAGAAAGGGGCCTGAAATCTCGTAGGGTTCTGTTTAGTTGTTTATGTGTTTTTCTTTGTATTGCTGCACCAGTGTACTGGATAAAATACGCTTTTCATAAAATATTTACCTGTTTTTAAATGAATTTAATTATCTCAATGCAAGTTTTGTATTTAAGATACTGTTTGTTTTTTTGTTTTTCTTGCTATTTATCAAGGCTGGCCTGAAAAGGGTTTGTGTGTTGAGGATATGCAACGTTTATTAACTGCACTATGGTAATGATATTGTAGCTCAAAATAATAACTTAAACTTTTTGTCTTTTCTGTTTCGGTTGGGGAGGGAGGGTCGCGGGGAGAGAAGAGGCTGTACGTGTTCCTGAGGTTAGTCCGTGGCCTGTTGCATCATGGAGGCCCGATTCTTGCCACAAATAGTGTAGTTTTAGAAAGAGACAAAACAAGTCTGTTTTAGTACTAGTAAGGGATATTTCTGGTTAAAGTCATGGGTTTTACTAGCACCTCATAAGCTTTTATATATATATATATATATTAAAAAAATAGACATAGATCTTGCAATTGATGTCAGTTGTACTTAACGTGACATAGTCAGTTACCTACAGTTTTAGGTTTCCATCCGTTGTAATGTTTTTCAGTGTTACAAAACCACTAGTTTACTGCTGATAATTTTGGTACACTTGCTGGAATTTAAAGGCCCTGAAGAACCAGAAAGTACCTTTTACTGTTGATACAAATTGTATCTTTTTAACTGAGAACTATTTTGATTTGTAGATTTAGTAGAAACACAAACGTATAACTATAGTCTTTTGGGCAACATTTTATCCCTTATTGGAAAATTAGAGTTTTCAGACATAGAATAGACTTAGGTGAGTAAAAATAGATATTTATTTAGGTGTCTGTCTCAATTTCACATATTGAAAAGAAAAAGAAAGAAAGAAACTATTGGCATCTTCTTCCTTCTAAAATCTTTGTAGTGTAAACTCACTAAAATAAAGGTAAAATGCTGCCTGAAAATGATGTCCAAGCACCTTTGAATACGAAGACATTTTCACTACTTGCGCGACACCATGTGTTGCGGCGAGTAGGATTTGGGTATACAGTAAATGCTTCTAAAGAGCATTGTGCTTATAGACATATCCAATAATCTGAACCGTGTTCAGCAAACTAATTCAGGAAGTAGTGTTCCAGACAGCTTTCACTGCTGATTTGGCCTGGGATCTGCATTCGCCTGTCCCTGTGACAATACAGGAGGTGCTGTACATAATTAGCCTGAGTTGTCTGCTTGGCAGTAGTTTGTCCCGTGGTGTGGTGGGTCGCTGTCCGTAGAGCTTGTCTGAACCTAGAGGCTGATGCAGCGCTCGCGCTGAGGTTTGGAGTGGTAGATGGGTCTCGTCTCAGTCGTACTCTAAGATTTTTTAAAAACTGAATTACACTGAAGTACTCCACCGTAGTGTAGGTGCAGCTGTTTTAGTACTGCAGTTCCTGTGTTTGTGTTTTTGGTGAGTTTCTACATTCATTCTTATGTAGGAATTCCCTTCTGCCAAAAGATGAATTCCTTGAAGGCCAACAGAAGCGTGTGCTTGTAATCGAGGCGTTTTATCTCTCCTGCCCGTCACACGAGCCTCAGAAGGCTCCGAGCAGCGCCGCCGTGCCAAGAAGTGTGGTGCTGGGGGGGGAAATCCTTTCCATACGTTGTGTGCTTTGTGCTGAAGCACTGAAAATGCTTTAAAAGTAGAAGAACGGGGGATATTCGGTGGTTCTCAGTGTTGTGCAATGATGTGCTAGTTCCCCTTAGGCCCTTACCCTGGGTAAAGAAAACGCGCAGTGGACAAAGCGTTGGCCTTGGTGTTTCCTTTGTAGTTGATGTGAGTAGCAGAGGGAAGGAGGAGGTGTGTGCGACCTCCCCCTCGAGGAGGAGATCAATCTGTGTATTTCACACCCTGTGGAGAGGAAACGAGTGCTAGGCATGACCACGGTGGTACTGCTCAGTACTGCGCCTGGTGGTGTGGTTGTGTTGATGCAAATAACTGAACCACAGCATCTTAAACAGCAAAAGGTGGCTCGCTAACGTTGTCTTTGCTGCAAGTGCTGGGGTTACAGAGAATAAAGCACAGCTAGCCCTGTCCCACCCCTAAAAACAGGGCAGCGCTTACCCTTGTCTTCACTACTCAAGAGTTGTTTTGATACTTAGCAGAAACTCCGTATTTTTAAATACAATCCAAGCCATTACAGCTCCCTCAGTACTGGTGTGTAGATACACGGTGTTTTGAGCGCACATTGACATTTGGCATCTGCCCACAGCAGTTTTGTAACGAAGTGTGTTGCCAATATTTAGAGTTCCTAAAATGCCCCGTGGATACCTGACTTAGAGCTCAACGTGCCCGGGCTGCGACAGTGTTAATCACTAAGATGTCTTTTTAAAAAAAAATCCTGAAATGTCACATTGTTGTTTTGTTGTTTTGTTTTTTAATACCTTAAACTCACTTGCCAACTACCGCTAATGCTCTGAGGTAAGGCCACATCCTTTCAGGTGTCCCGTTGTCCGGGCTATGTCTGAACTGTAGCTCGGGGCTCTGCTGCAGAAGAGCTCCGGGGAGAGCCACAGGGCTGCCGTGTTCATGGAACACCCCAAAAAGGAGGAGTGCCAGCCTGGGGATGCCCGTGAAGGGGACTTTGGCAGCCTTCGAGTACGCGGACTGTCACTGACTCGTTGCCGACCTTCTGCTGTGAAAGTAGTAGCTACTGGTGAACACTTCTCCAAAAATACCAAACCCGTCGGTGCAAACCGGAGTACCTCACTTGGAGCGGGGAGCCGGCGGCTCCTGTCCCCGCGGGGTGACAGGGAGGACGCAGTGCCCAGGGAAGAGGTGCCGCAGCACCTCGCGAGGCTACCAAAACCCATGTCAGTCCCATCAGTTGCTGGTTTGACCAACTTTGACGTTTTTGACGTGTGAAGCTTGAAAAGGAAAAAAATGCGAGATGATGCTTTTTGTACTGTCTAAAGCATTTAGAACAATACAACACCCAACTGACTTTGCATTGCTACTGAGAAATTAAAATACTGTGCAATTAAAGAGACCATTTTTTAATAAAAGTAATTTAGAAATTATTTATTTTGATTTACAGTGTGACTCTTGCTAATTTATTCCTTGCATTATAAGGCCGTGGTGGAGTGCCGTTTATATTTTTTATTTAGCCTAGGAACTTAAGCTGTTGAAAAAACAACAGATTAAAGCTCAAAACAAAACAAATCCCTATGGCCTTGTTTTGTTTTCTTACAAAAGGGCTGAGGTTTTTTAAATGTCAAGTCATGCATTTTATATACTTTGTAAGTTATAGAGAAGTTTAGTCTAGGAATTTTGTTGCAGGTCGATGTGTGTGTGTGCATTGTTCGGACTGACCCTGTAACTAATCCCCAAACCATATGTGTGATGAAATGGTTGTTCCAGCTGACCTTTCAGTAGATAACACGAGGTGTGTTCAGACTTCACCTTCAGCTGTTGCAGCATACATTTCATATCGTTCATGGATGTCTTCAGGCTTCCCCAGGAGCTGGTGGAGTCGTGATCTGTCACCCGCAGAACATCTCCACACGGGTGGATCCGACCCCTGCACACTGGGTTTTCCGTGCAGCAGTACGCTGGTGCCTGACATACAGGAGCTGTTTATGCAGGCACTGAATGCACCGAGCTGTTAATAGCCGTGAGTGTGATGCAAATCATTTTCCATCTTCTGTTTTCAGGTCTCGAGGGATGGGCACAATGCGTGCTCGAGTTGTTTATTCCTCTGCCTACCCGTTCACCTCTGAAGTGTAAATGGCTGCAGTAGGTCTCCTCCCCTCGCTCAGCTTTAGCTGCCATTTAGGGCCCCGTCTCCTGAGTGCTTACGCACACGCCTGACTTCAGCACAAATGCGTGCACTGGCTGCTTTTGGTGGAATTGGAGAAGGCACGAATCAAGGTGGGCATGTGTGCAAGTGCTGGAGGAGTCGGGGCCTTGAGCACGTCGGGACCAGCTGGGAGCAGCCTGCTGCCCTGCAGAGGTGAGGGCTCACTGCTGCTGCCAGCACTGAAAGCACGCAGAAAAAAACAAACTCTGTTCAGACATTTCTGCACATCTCATCCTCGCTGTCTCAAAGGTGTAACAATCACACCTCCTAAAAACCTCTCCATTTTTGTAAGGCAGCCTTTTTGTTGTCGTCGTGCTCAGATGAAGTCTCATTTAACAAGTGAGGTTGGCTGGTTGGTTACGTTATATGAACAACGTGCTTAATTACACTGGTATTTAAGAAATGTTTTACCAGCATATTACAGAACATCGTGCAAGGAAACAGAAATGCAGATACAGCAGCAATAATTGTGTTTTGTAGTTCTTTTTCCCCTCATTATGACTGTACTTGTACTGAGTAGGCGAGATTTTAATGTTGTCCTGAAGCCAGCTCTGGCAAAAGCGTTAGTTAAAAGTCATGTTTGGACTGCGTGATAAAGCAATTGTCAAACTTGCTCGTGGTTCCTCCACTGGTTGTTCTGTGTTGTTTCTGTGAGGTGACAATTCACACCTTAAAGCCACCGTCTAAACCATACAAAAAAAGAAAAAAAAAAGAAAAAAAGAAACATGTACCTCGAATTCTGCTTTTAGAGAAAACAATAAAGATTCATTTTTCTCACTGATGGGCTGGTTTTGTTTCATAAAATAGAAACCTCGAGCAGCATAGAAGTTAGCAGTGAGTGCACAGAGAGCCCTGCCAGCCCTGGGGCAAGGAGCCCGGCAGGGCTGAGGTGGGTGCAGATGGAGTTGGCCTGAGAAATGAGGCAGCATTGCCCGAAATGAGTTGTGAGCGTGGGTAACCTGCCTGATGGGATGCTCTGCACAGCTGTGTGCATCAGCTGCGTTACTGCACCTGGGCTGAGCACAGCGCGTGGCTTCGCCTCCTTTCAGGGCAAACAGGGGCACTGGAGTAGAACTGGGAAGGTGCCTTTGATGTTTCTGTCTGGGCAGAACCAGCATTTTGTGATGAAAAAGCCTGATTTATTCCCCTCCCCTCCATCCCTGCCATTTTAATGCTACACAAGGTGGGGGGAGATGGCTCTTTGGGTGCTCGCCTGGCTCCTGATCAACCTCCCCAAGGTTTTGCCTTTTTATCCTATACAGATTTATTTTTTTTTTCTTGAACTGCTGCTAGAGGGCAAACACCTTGATCTCACTGTTGTCTGAAACCAGGATGGGATGGGGCAGGGCTGTCCTGGGTGCTCACAGCTCCTTCACCAGGGCACTACCGGCTGCTGTGCACCGGGCGGGTGCCCCATAGGATAAACCACAGTTTCTTGACTTCCCACTACTGCTTTCCAGTAAACCAATGTTTGCAGGTCCAGCAGAGTGTGTGGCAGCAGAGGGCCGGGTGGAGGTGAATTTCACCTCCACTGGGTGGAGGAGACAGCTTATGACCCAAGGCCAGGTCACCTTGGCCGTGTACTTGAGCGGTGCAGCACTGGCCAGTGGTCTGGCCACGTGTTTGAAGTCGTTCTCTAAATCAATTCCTTTGTGTCTCCACACAATAGGCCCAGAGACCTTTTGTTTGCAGGAAAACAGGGACATTCATGTCCAAAGGGCAGTGAAGCCAGTGAGGGGTTTAGGGAACAAGGCCTGTGAGGAGCGGCTGAGGGAGCTGGGGGGGTTTGGGCTGGGGAAGAGGAGGCTCAGGGGAGACCTCATTGCTCTCTGCAGCTACCTGAAAGGAAGGGGTGGGGAGCTGGGGGGGTCGGCCTCGTCTCACAGATAGCTCCTGATGCCGGTTGAAGTGTCCTTACGGTGTCTCTGTTGCCTGTCCTGATGCCAGCTGGCAGTGCCTCAGATGGCGGAGCCACAGCACGGCTCGTGTAGGCCCACACGGGGACGCTCCCCATGGGGCTGTGCCCACACACAGGAAAAGCCCACTGGTGCCACACTGGGCAGCGTCCTCCAGCTTCACAGGAGCTTGGAGAGATGGGTGAGGGATCATCTGCTTCAGAAAGGTCTGTGCTCCACACAGGCGTTGTGGCAGAGGTTAGAGAAAGAGGCTCCATGTCGCTGCGCCACCCCTAGGCCCCACAGCCTCGGAGCTGGCGTCCCATTAACAGCCCCCAAAGCCAGGGCTGGCCTTTTGCTTCCCCCTCCTGCTCCACAAAGGAGCCTGCCAAGAGCAGCAGGTGGGTCGGGAGGAAATTAAACGCCGCAATTAATTTACATGAGCTGCTGAAGCGCGAGCAACAGGAGCAGGGGGTGAGGAGATGGCGATCGGCGCTTGCCTGGCGGCTGCTCCGCGTCAGGCGGGCTCGCGTTGCAGAGATCCCCCCCCGATCGCAGCCCGGCGCTCGGTGACCTGATACTGAGGGCCTGGAGGAGCGATAATGGCACAGGGGGCTGGGGTGGGAGATGGGAACTGTCCTGCATGGAGACTGGGACAAGGTACAGGGATAGGGATGGATGCAGGCTGCTGCTGCTGCCCTGCCCAGGCTGAGCACGGAGGCAGCAGCTCTGAAACACGGGGACTGCAGATGGAGGGAGGGAGGACATGGCTTTAGGTGAGGCTGTGCTGGGCCGTGCAGAGCAGGCAGTGCTCGTGCACTGTGCTGTGTGTCCATGCAGGGCACCCCCTCACCACCACGCAGTGTTTTTCATCACACAGCTCCGCTGCAAAGGCTCTTTGGACAGACCCGCATCGAGGGCCAACCTCCCGCCTGCTAAATTCAATAGCAAAATCCTCACTGGGGCAAAATCCTCAGCCCACAGGGATGAGCAGGGAACATCCTGTGGCACCATTTTCACCTTGTAAATCTGTAGCCACCAGCCCTGCCGGCCCTTGGCAAACAGGCAGCCTCTAGGGCTGTGGCAGAGCTGCCACGTTTCAAACAAAGCCATCGGCAGCAGTAATAGCCCAAAGCTTTCATTATGTCAAAATCACTTTTGTTGTTGTTGTTTTTTGTTTTTTTTTTAAATCAAGCTCTTACAAATATATTACACGTCATCTTGCACAACTCCCTGCCTGCAGCGCATCCACCAGGGAACCTGCACGCTGACAAGAGAAGCCAAGAAACGCTGTGGGCAGAGATCGGCAAAGGCAGCATAATGGTAAATAAAATCCTCGGGAACATTTTGCAGCTGTACCGAAATGCATTTGCATGAAAGCGCCTCGCTACCTTTCACCGTCAGGAACTTGAAGTAAACAACTTAGAGGAAGGAGGCTGCTCCCAGGTGCAGCTACGGCAGAAACACTTTAAATCTGGCTCACAGTGAAATTCAGAGCCAACAAAGCTGAGACGTGCACGAGTGTTCCCCGCAGCCCTCCAGGAGATGGCAACTGAGAAATAAAGCTGCTGCTACCTGAGGCTGCTGTGCCTTGATCCCCCTCAGCCCCAGAACATCCCTATCGCCAGCACGGGCCACGCAGGGAACGGGAGGCATCAGTGGTTTTAAAGGAACTGATGAATGCTAGGCAAGCATGTCCCAAGCCCCAGTGCTGGCCTTAATTTGCGAAGCAGAGGCTGAAATCCCACCGTGCAGGGTTTCAGGTCCCTCTTGGGATCCTGAACCTGAACCCCACGCACGTGGTGGTCCTGCTTGAGCTGGTGGTGAAGGTGCAGGTCGCACACTGTCCCCACGGGCTGCCTCCACGAGGCATGGTGTGAGTACCAAGACAGCGTCCAAGCTCAACAGGAGGCTCGTGGGCCCTGGGCAGCTCCCTCGCTTGGCAGTTTGGCCAATAACTTCAGACCCGTGCTTTACACTTTTTACAGGTTCAGGCAATTCCTCCAAGGGATCGACCCACACGGATCTCAGCCTGGGAAGCCATTGTGGCCATTTGCCATGATGGCAATGTGACCAACACAAATGCTTCCAAGGTTTGGTATATTCCCAATAATTCACTTATCCATCAGCTTAATTACCAAGTGCCTTATTTACCAGTCCCCATCTTCTCCTTCAGGAGTGATCCGTTCTTTGCAAATCCGCTCCCTCACAGCTTATCTGACCACAGCACAAAACACACAGGTGGAAACTCCAGTATGGACTCGTACCACAAACTGAAAGCTCCCAGTGAAACGAACAATGGCACAGTCTAACAATTAGCAAGACTGATCGTCAAAAGAATAGTGATTCTTCAGGTTAACATTAAAACCCATTTATTCAGGCTTTTTGTGCAGGGTGCACAACTCATTGCATTACGTATACACAGTATGCACGTTCTAATAGCGTACAAAAAGGCAGGTAGCAACAGGATCTTACACTGGAAATGTATGTACAGGCATACTAAATCGGTCGCTTGACATTAAAAAAGTCACCTGACATTGTTCATGTATCATCGAGGCTATTAGAAATTGTGTAGAAAACCAATAAAACTTGGAAAGTATCTACTCTCGTCTCGCTTTACCCAGGCTGGATAGAGGCAGGCTTCCCACACTGTGTCATCTGTGGTCCAAGCCTTCAAGATCCCTGAAGTGGCCGCACCACCGTTCGCTCTAACACGTCCCATCGCATGTTAAAGGCCGATAGCTTACTGCCAGGTCCTGCTTTACGGGGGAGAACAACAACTGAAGCACTTCTAAGAGAGGATTTTCTCCCAGGAAAAGACAACGAAGGAAAGATTTAGAGAGATCAGAGAGAACCGAGCGTTACTGTAATGTTTTAATAGCACTTCCTGGTCCTTGCAGAAAAGTCTTCGTGGACCAGGCAGCACCTAATTTAAAGTGCTGTGAACTGTCCAGATTTACAGAAGCGCAATGCAGGCCTTGGCAGACCCCAGGTCTTCTGCTGATCTTTACCTCGTTTCTATCCTAATGGCTGCAAGAGATCGTACTTTTGTAACCTGCACAGAAAGACACAGAGAAGTCAAGGAGATTTAGCACAGGCACTACACAAAAGCAATAAATAGAGTCATGCAGCAACATCGTAAGAGCCGTACTTCACTCGCTGTAACTGCTCTGAAGTACCAAATTCCTGAATGCAATGTCTGAATGAATTTTGTTTCAAAGATGCCAGCAGAATGAGGGAACACCAGAAAAGAATGATTTAAGAAAAATGTTTTTCCTGTAGCCAAGAACCCCCCTCCCCAAGAACATGGAGAACTTTCATTGAATTTCAGCTCACAAAAACCAGGGCCAACTTTGTTCAACAACTGTTGCATGCCCAAGTCAACTTCTTTATTTTTATTTTTTATTTTTTCCACATACCAGTAGAGTTTTGATGGCAAACTTTAGCCTTACAAAGCACCTACCCTAAAACCCACTCAGGGAATAGTTTTACAGGATTAATTTGCTAATGCAGACAACACAGGTGACGACTGAGCATGACGTGAGTAAGACTGTTAAAACTGCTTCCAAAGGTGGCTGAAATAAGCTGCATTGTGGATAAATACACAAGATATAGGACGTATTTGTAGAACATTCAATCACAGCCAATACTATTTCAGACATCTCTTCCTTTCAGCATCAAACACATGCTGTTCGCTGGGTTTCTGTGTGTGAAGATACTGAAAAAAATGCGTATTTTCCTTTTTTTTTTTGTGGAAATTCATCGTTGAAGTGGCTTGAAAAATGTTTTCCTTTTTGACAATGATCTTCCTTAAACACACCATATTCTGAATACACACAGAATAGGAACGCTGAATTTAAAATACTGATTATAGAGCCAACCT